CCCCAAAACCCCAAAACCCCAAAACCCCAAAACCCCTCATCACCAAATATATATTTAAAAAGAGTAAACATGAAAGTTTTCCGGTGGCTGTTCTTCGCATACTTCACAATAGGCTTCTTATGTAGCTTATATATTGGAGAGCGATATATATCCTACGCAACTGGGCTCTTTGGGTACACCCCAGAGCACCCTCGCAATGCAGAAGAAGACCTCAAATATTACGAGCATCAAGGATTTGGGTGAAAGTTATGCAAAGGAGGGCTAGGAGCCCTCCGCTGGACCTTTTGGGGAAATATAACCGTCCAAAGAGTCGTCGTGCCCATTGTGAAAGCAGTCTGAACATTCTCAACTAAAGAAGAGCTCATGTGAGAAGAGCTTTTTGATGGATTCGCGCTCAGTGTCTGGATGTCTCTCCAGGAAAGAGTTTATGATGTCAATTACATGTGATCATCTGTGAGTTTATGTGATGACTACTTCTATAAAGCTTATGATGTGCAGGATTATGTTAATGAAAAGACCCAGAACTTATCGAAGCATGATAATAGCTACCCAGAAGAAAAGCCTGAGAAATTATTACGTATGCTACAAATCTCTGATGCACATGTTGATAGGAACTACCTTGAAGGATCAGATCCCGATTGAGCAGCAGCAACTTGATGACGACCTCATTATGGAATGGCCAAAGGCGAAGATATACCAGGATATTGGGGTATCGTAGGAAAATGCGATATTCCTCAAAGAACTGCAGAAACAGGGTTAGAGCAATTGATTGCACAAAATCCAGACTTTATCATTTGGACGGGAGATAACCTTGATCACTACGTTTGGTATCAAAGTTTTGAAAACCAATTCTTTAACCAGAGATTTTTATTAAAATACGTTGTAGAAGAGCTCGGCTACAAAGGACCCATATATCCTGTCCTTGGAAATCACGAAGGAGTTCCTTCTGATATGTTTGACTTCGAGCTTAATCTTTGGGTATTTGAAACCTTTGCAGACATCTGGAAGGATTATATTACCCCAGAAGCATACAAGAATCTCAGTTCTCATGGATATTACCATGAGAAGCACCTAGACACAAATCTGAGAATAATCGGAACCTTTTCTTTAGTGTATGATATACAAAACTGGCAGCTTATTCCGAATCACACCGACCCACTTGAGCACCTCAAATTCTTGGAGGAGACTCTAGATTATTGCCAGCATAATAATGAAGTTGCTTACATTATCGGGCACATCCCGCCAGGAGATGTATTCGCGCTTGGCCAATGGACCATCCGGTTTAGAGCTATAGTCAACAAGTACAAAAATATTATTAGAGGGCAATTCTATGGGCACACACATTATGATGAATTCAAGAATGTTAAATCATACAGAGATGACGAGCTAAGCGCTGGAATTATCTGGGCCACACCTTCATTTACTAGTTATCCCAAGAAGCAGCCTAGCTTACGGATCTGGGATGTTGACCCTGAGACTTGGCATCTCTGGGACTACGAGCAATGGAGGTTCTACATTGATGTAGCCAATGACCAAGTTAATGAAATAAGAAAACAACCTAATCATACAGAAGACGATATCAGGAACACAGCAAAATGGGAAATCGCATATACTTTCAGAGATTATTTCGGAATCAGCCTAGAATTCGAAGAAGTTGCGAATTATATCGAAAGAATCAAAACTGATAAAGAAGTTGCAAAGAAAATAATCACTATGATGCATTGTGAAGGTCCTGACAGCATAGCACGCCAAAATGAACAAGAATGGACCTACTGAAGATACTCTAACAGTATCTTTGACGACCACTGGGCTTGTAATGGCAATACAGGAAACATGCTTGATTACGTCTTCCAAGGAATACAGCTTGCACATGGCGGAAGTGGGGAATGGTGGCATAAAGAACCTACAGAAAAATATACTAGGCAATAAATTAGGTAAACTCAAAATCTCTCAATAATTTTCATTTCCTAAGGGGTTTTGGGGTTTTGGGGTTTTGGGG